TTTTGCAGTTAAACATTTCATCAAACAGATTTCTTTGTTATGTTGTCAATATGTCGTCATCATAGAAATATCCCCTCGTTTATCTTCTTCGAGAAAATTCGAATTTGATCAGATCGATTTCCCGTGATGTCCCCCGTGTTTCAGTTCAACGACATCTCGTTCCTCACGCGTCCAGTGGTAACAACCGGAGCTCGGATATCGATCTCACGCCCGGCCAGGGTTAGTTTTGACTTGGCGAGTTTGAAACGATTGGTTTTCCTGATTCTAACTGATCTCCCAATTGGGAAATATCGACTTTATTGAATTACTTCTGGTTGACACCATTAGAATAGCTGCATATTCAAAAAGGGAATGTCGTAGAATGTTATGTGATGGATGTGAAATCACTGAATTTATTTATGGCAAATTCCTAAGCACAACAGCGATTTTTCCCTCCACGCCACACATTCCTAATGATACGGTAGACTGCTGCTACCGTATAGATGAAAGGCCATGGGGGTGAGGTCGTACGTGATGACGATGACGACGTGATCGAATGAACGACGACGATGTCACCGTCGTTACACCTGTTGTTGGTCAACCAGTTGTGTAGAGCTGCTTCCCAGCCCTCATAGGCAGGTCCCCTTACGGTTGGTAAACCCTTTTTCTGGGGCTGCTTCAATTACCGTATCACTCGGGAGCTCAAACCCTCCCCAAGCTTCTACAGGCTGCGCTTAAGGGAACGGGAATGTCCCAGGTGTATGCAGTCGTGCTGTATTGAGCTCCTGTGTGGGAATTCCTGGGTAGAGAACGATTGAGCAATGCCTTCAGGGATTCCTACTAGTTCCCATTGTAGTTCGTTTTTTTTTTCGACTGATTTATTCTCCCTTCCTGAGCCTCAAATGTCCTCCCAGTTCTCTTTCACCTTATTCTCCTTGGGAATGGGGACTTGTGTATAGGCTAGAAGCTCTAGGGGATGAGATCAAGCCCTACTTATGGTTAGATGTGGAAAGCGCTTCCAAGCTTTTTGGGTGTTTAGATTTCGTTTTTTGGTTTGGGACCACGGAAATCATCAAAGACTGAGTCATAAGGTCCGCGAGTCACACTCTTTTGCGTCAGTAGACGTTTAACATCAAACTCATTGGTCTCAACATTGCAGCGATTCATACATCAACCCCCCTCGGGCTGAGTCATTTGCCCCCCACTGTCTCTCCCATTCACATAGTTTTCCAATGAGTATTCATAGGGACGTCACAGCAAGTCTACCACCCACTCCTTGACTTTTGATCTTCCAGAAAATTCGATTTATTCCCAAACCATGTTATTTCAGGCACGACGTAACGTCTGCTCTCAGCCGGAAGTTCATCGCTATAGAACCGTGCACGCAGGGTTTTCGAAAAAGCGCACGACTTTGCAACTTCGGGTGAGTTTTTCGGGTTTTCTATCATTCTGGGCCGGCCCGGTTCCAGTTAGCCATTCATAACCAGAAACACACACACACAGAGCAGCGGCTATATAGAAATAGGCAGCCGGCTGCAAGTTTCAGCGTCGACGATGTGAATCGATAGTGGTTTTTTGTGTTGCGGCGGCAGTGGCGGCGGCGGCGGCGGCGCCGGAGCCGCTAGCCGTCGTCGCATCCTCCGCCGCCGCCACCACCACCACCACCACCTCCACCGCCGGCCGCCACTACCATCACCACCGCCGCCAACACCACCCCGCGTCTGTCGGCCTGCGCTGTTCAGGGTGTGTTTCGTTGATGATTCAAACCCGGGGATAGATGTACTCGAGCGGTACATCGCGAACGACGACGACGGCGGCGGCGACGGTGGTGGTGGTGTCGGTGAAGTGGCAGCCGGCTGGCCGCTGACACGACTCCATTCATTGGCCTGAATTCTCGGCTCAGCCTCTCTCTATTACCGTATCAGAAACGACGCGACGTCGATGAGCCCTCCAGCCGGCCAATTCGACCACCTCCTCGCCTAGCTGCGGCACCGATATCGATTTCACGAACTGCTAAGGTGCGTTTTTGGTCGATACCGGACTTTTCATCCGGATCGGGGTATAATTGTTGTTTCCTATGTATTGCCAGTGTTTCAGGTGGCTAATGATGTATGTTCCGAGAAATTAAAGCCACGTGCCCACCTACCGTATCCGGAATCGATTTTGCGGCCTAAAAAGGTGAGCTATCAAATTTCGAAGTGTAAAACGTTCGGTAGTACCGGAAACCGAAGAATAGGTGCAGATTCATTATAAAATTACGAAATAGTATTAAATAACAACCAAAAAAAGGTAATAAGCATAAGTAGGGTAACAATGGATAAATCTAATGATAATAAAAATGAAAATAATAAATATTATTAATAGGAAATAAAAAAGTGGATGAGCAAAGATTAGGAGTTTTTTCGCTATTTTCTGTTCTACAGCAGACCGTTATACTTCGGATGTGATTGGACAACCGCCAGGATCAGTTAAGGGTCGGATAGGGTCAATGGGGATCCCGTGAAGCTAGCTTTAGCGTTGCACGACCTCGTCTAGCCAAACTCAAAAATGAAGGGTAATATCCGTGAGTTTGGTGGTTCTTCTGATCAACTTCTCCCCACATATCCTCCTACTTCTCTCCCTTTCATTCCCATAACATGATCAGGGTTACTTGACAGGAGGAATATCAGAGGGGATTGGAGCAAACATCGAGCGAAAAATTCGGTCATGAAGTCATGCTGTCGCGAATTTCCTTGGACCCATGGGTTCTGGTGATACCGCCCTTCCCTTACCCTGGGGTGTTGTTGGCGGTTTGGAATCATTCCATACAATGTTGCAACATAGATTTTTGCTAAATGAAACTTTGAGACGTACGGGAAAGTTCATCCAACCCAAATAATCCTACTCGAACAGGAAGCCTCCTGAAATTTCCCCTCTCCTTCATTTCAGGGCACGAAAATTCGGAGGCCCATGGAAGCTCAAAGGTTTTCTTGAGGAGTTTAGGCATTTTTTTCAAGATGTTGCTGTAATCTTCTGTTGTTTTCTCTGAATATCTTCCATTACTATAGTACTAGTGAAAATCGTGATATCGAAAGGATGTTCAGCCCGTTTTTNGTTTCTTGTAGCGTGGCGTGAGACTGGGAACTAGAGATTTAGCGCAAGTGGGCCGGATCTGAAGGAAGACGGATGGGAATGAAAAAGAAAGTTAAACAGCATCTCGTCTCAGCAGCAAGTCAGTCGTCACATGGGTTTTTCGTGAATGTTCGGAAGATTTGGAAAGATACAATATCCACACAATTGAAAGGGAGAATAGCGAGTCAGGCAAAGTGGCGCTTTTCTTGGGATGCGCCGTTTGTGTGGTTGTCATTCGGAATTCCAAGTATATTTGAATGCGTACTTGGCCCGTGACAGGGATTTTCTGGGTTTGGCCAATGTTCAAGTTATGGTTTTTCCTCCCAGACTAGTCTCGGTATCTGTTCATTGACCACGAAGGAATCGATGATTTGTTCGTCTGGACGAGTGGTGCTCTGGTTTTTGGATGTCTGGATCATGCGTGGGATCGAAATGAAACAAAAGAAAGATCCAAAGCTTTCCATTTACTCCAGTTCCAACTTCATTTCATACTCATATCTCACTGGAAGACGGACTGAATTAGTATCTGTTTGGGGTCGAAGTCGAGAGTCCGAGATCCAAATGGAATCGGCTCTCCTCCGTCTCAATGGGTGAGCTTCCAAATATATTCGGGCACGTAACAGAAATAGGAACTATGGTGCATACTCACTGAGTTCTTATCATCGTTCACTTTTTCTCCTTTTTCATCAAAAAAGGTACGGTAACGATCTATTCTGAGCAGTGAATAAGTGATTTACTTGATAGGGAACGACTTAATTTTCTCTTTCAAAATCGGTCGCTCTCGGTAGGGTTCCTCTCAGAAGCAGCGGGAACTGATGAGGCCCAGGTTACGTCGTAGTGACTGCGCGTGGAAAAGGATCGTGTTTGTCCATTTAGAGGTGACGGGGCCATCTTTGCAAAGGATATACATACCCGCTTCCTTGACGCTTACGGAATCTAGGAGGGGTCGTATTTTGGTGCAGGGGCTCGTAGAGGTGGGGCCATACAGTCTCTGTGGAAGCACAGGAATCGAGAATGCTAACAAACGATGCTGTCAACTCTTCCGTTACTGTAATGCTCTCCAAACATCATCAAGCCGGCCATCGAAGATTTCTGAATACGATACTTTAATTCCATCTCTGAAATTCAACCCCCTCTCCTTTACTACCTTAAAAACCTTGGAAAGCTTTTAACGGACGTAGGAAGGGGAAGGGCGCGGGCAAGGGAAGGGGGCCAAGAGTACGTACCGTATACTATGAAGACATTCATTGGCCTGGTAACGGTCTCCTGCAAATTACCAGTTTAGTTCCTTCTAACCAGTAAGTAATGCGAAGAGTTGCCGTTTCATAAGATCGGGTTTGATTCGGTACGTTCTGATCCCCACTTAGTATAGCCTGCTACGTAACGTTGGTGGCGGAAGGAAGGTGAGGGGAGGGTGCAGCCTATGTACAAGCAGTGCTTTTGTCCTTCCGAACAAGTTTGGTACCAATTAGTCGTCTCCAAGGGATTTGAAAGGATTAATCGGCCTAGGAGGGATTTGATTCAAGCATGATCCTTCTTATAAGAATGCCATACTCACAATCAGTAAGCTATTCTTAACCAAGTTCAAGAAAATCCCTTGGTGGATATCTTGACATTTAAATTAATTAGAGGTAGAACCGTGAATAGAGACCTTTCAACTACGTCATGTCATGGCTTCAGAAGCTATTCTGGTTCAAAAGCTTTTCTTTGAAGTGACAAAAGGATTCAATCCTTACGCCTAATCCTTCACTCTGTCACCCGCCGCGTTGCTCGGAAGTGACACCATCTTAATGAAGTCTCTTTGAATTGAATTTAATTGAATTTAAAGCAAAATTTTTATACTGAAAAATGTCATTAATCAGTTTACTGTACACAGGCTGCTATAGATAAATGCTCTGGCTGGGCATCCGTAGCTTCCTAGATTCTCGGGTAACCCCTTCCCAGTGTGAGGTTCCAGTTGTATTTCAGTTGTAGTAGTGGGCTTTCTTAATGAGTGTAAGCCACGCTGGACGGCAGTAATGGCAACCCAGTTCTGAATGATTGTATGAACCAGGCTTACAGACCATCCCCGGTACTTTTCCCTCCCACTGACGGATTCCTCCACTTTGGTTGACAATGGAGTCGAAAGAGTTTCTTTCTCTTGTCAAGGGCAGTGCATGCATTAATTCTTCACCCACACTCTCGGTAAGGGTAACAGCTGTTATTTTCAGGAAAGACCATGAAAAGTGGGTTACGTTCGGGGGGATTTTCACATGGATAAGGTGATTCCCAAAACATTGTCTATCGTGAGTTTTCAAGACATGTCCACCGAGTAAGGGTTTTTGTATCTTGGAGGCCCAAATTCTTTTCGAGTACTGTAAACTCCTACCCAATCTACATTTTTCGGGTATGTAGGAAGAAAGAGGTTCATCTAATTCGTGGTCGAGATTGGGGAGATTGGGATTGGATGGAAATCTTCAATTGGTAGTCTGTAGATGTAGATGGAAACCAATTGTCGAGCTATTCATCATTTCCTCTGCTCTNGGGGGGTCACTCTTGATTTCTTCATAAAATTCCTAGTCCCAGTTTGAAATAATTGAATTTTAAATCAAAAACAAACTTTTGTGGAGTTTTCCCAAATGACGACACCTTTGAGCAGCTCATTGAGTTCTATTTTTCTAGATGAAACTGTATATTTTGGAACTGCGCCAACTTTTTCTCGGAAAAATGCCATTATTTCGAATAAAGGAAAAAATTATGCATGTGAAAATAATATTGTAGTATCTAACTCAGTGGAAATTTGTAAATGTTTGTATTACACGATACAATCTTCTAATTTTATCAAATCTTAGCTTCAGGTATCTCTGAAAAGACTAACTGGCTCTCGTCGTCCACAAATTAGCTTCAAAAAGTCTGCACCGTTGGTAGTTCGAAGAAGTGAGTTCCGTCTGTTTGTGATGCTTCTTGTGGACCAGTCGATTAATTGATTAGACATTATTTATAACTTTTCTTTCAGGTAACGTTTCTGTTGCGGTACGTGCTGTTCCGAAATTCCTGGGTCCTCTTAAGAAACGTCCAGCACTTGCTGCTGCTCCATGTTTACCGAAAAATCGTCCATGCATTGAACGTCGTACTAAGCCTTGTAAAGGTAGGTAATTTTTTTGAGAGGGTAGAACACCTTGAAGGTGTGTTGAACCCCTCAGTAGGATACGCCGTGCATTCGACTCCCTTTTGAATTGCTTTCTTGCAATTAGGCACAGTTTTTTATTCCAGTTCATACCGGATTACGGAGGTGGGAATACTAAGGTTGCCTTTTATATTTTGAGATTTGGCAAGACTAGTGTAGCAATCTA